ACCATCTGGCAACATCCGCTATCAAAAATATATTAAACAAATGTTATTGCTGTTTTACAAAAGAGAAAAATAAAATTTATACATTAAAAAAACTAAATCTGGCAATTAAGTTTGCCTCTTTATGACACACTCTCACTTTGACAATTACTAAAGTCGCAAAATTATCGCAAACAAGCGGAAAATAATAATATGAGAGAATACTATTATTTCTCGGAGGTATTTTTTTAAACCCACACCCTATTCACACATTCACATCTTCCAGTTTTTTTATTATGATGTTTCTTTAAAAATGACAATCGTCCATTCAAGTTTTGTTTCTTTCACTGTTAAATATTCATTCGTATGAATATTTTGAAAAGATTGCTTTTGATGTTTGTCAATAATTTCAACATTCCACTGTTTCCCATAAGTTTCATTAAGCCAATTTTTCATATCTTTGATTATTTTTTGCATATTCAATGATCCATATGTATCGATTAAGCTACTCATTGTATTCAATACATTTATTCTCATTGAATCCGTAATGCCAGAAGTTTGTTGTTCAATTTTCCATCGTGATAGTTTCATCGATTTCGTAGAAGACTCATCTAAAATAATTATCATTTAGAGAATTTTTATAGAGAAATATTTTCGATAGACTAAAGTTAATTATTTATGAAAGTTTTAGATGAAACTATTTCTTCATTATTCTATTTTGTCATATAAATATACTTTATTTACCTGGAGACGTTACCGAACGTTTTTGATGTGTTGTTAGATGATTGTCATTGTTCGTTGTTTCATTTGGAATACTAATGAGATTATCATTAATAACTAAAGGATTAATATTAATATGAATATGATGAAGATCATTCACATCTTTTTCAATAAATTCAATAGATTTTTTCATAAAATCAATTTCTTCCTTTGTTCCTTCTTGTTTTTCAATTAATTCATTAAATTTCATTTTCATTTCATTTAATTCTTTTTTCTGATTGTTTCTTCTTCCCTGAATTAATTCGTCGAATTGTTGACGTTTTCTTTCATAGAATTGTTCAATTGTATGATGCGCATTTTCACGCCATTGATTTAGATCTGTAAGATTAGATGGTTGTATGACTACCTCATTATTAAGTTGATTATAAAGTGAATTAATTTGATCAGTTAATAATGGAAGTTGAGCATTAATTATTTTATCATGTTCATTTAAATGATCAAGACATAAATACTGTTGACAACAAAGACATAATGCTCGACATGAACGTTTACATTCGTTGATAGAACAAGAACTTATTGATGATGCCATTTCTTTTGTATTCTACTTTTTTTAACAGTAAAAAGAATTTAATATGTTACACTAAAGTATCTGAAAAAAAGTATTAGTAAAAATGTGAGTTAGGCGAGAAGCATCGTATCTTCTATTAAATAAAATCAACTAATTCATACCAAGGGAATTGTTTCAATGAAAATGAGATTTCATTAAATATTCTTTGGTATTTATCTTTTAGACGCAATGTTACATGTAAGTTGATGAAAGGTTTCTCCATGGTTTCCGATTGTTTTTAGTAGTGGGGGGAGGCTAAATTTGGCAGAAAGTCTGTTTCTGGGGTTTTTCTCCCAAAAAGCTGGCTAAAAAGCTCAGAAACTAGGTTTTTCTGTTGATTTTCCAGAAAAAATCGAAAATTGTGGTAGAAAGTCTGCTAAATTTTGCAGAAAGTCAGACAAATTTTCAAATTTGTGAGAGGTAGACCGCCTCCCAGCCCCCCTAATCGGAGACCATAGGTTTATCATTATTGAAACATTGAATGATTATTGAAGTTTCATTCAAATAAGTAACATAAGTAAAACATTTTTTTTCTGTTTATTTAATAAAGACACATGTATGTTTTTTAATATGTTCATCTATAAATTTCATTACTTCGTTGTTTAAAATCATCGACATGTATGCTCCTAAAATTGTATCATTATTATTTATTATGTGTTTTGCAGTTGGTAGAAGTCGCAGTTTACCTTAAGAAGTTTGTTTAAAAATAGTTATCTTCCAACCCAAGTCGGCTTCTTTGATCTCGATGTACTTGCTTTCATAGTAGCTGAAAAAACGTGACCATTCCCCAGTTTTACCAATTATCACACACCAAGTCTTTTCATAACTTTCGTCAAGCCAATTTTTTACATCTTTACAAATTTCGAGTATTTTTGATGATCCATGTGTATCAATCGAAGTCCGTATTGTGTTTAAAATATTTATTCTCATAGTATTTGTGATTCCTGAGTCTTGCGTGATAATTTCCCATTTTGCCATTTTAGTCGGTTTGAGAATGAGTTATCTAAAAAGTAAACTCAGAACTATAATTTGTAAACATGAGAATCCTATAATATCTTCTAGTAAATCAAATCAACTAATTCATACAAAGTCAATTGTTTTAATGAAAATGAGATTTAATTAAATATTCCTTTTCATTAATCTTTAAGACACAATATTACATGTGATTTGATGAAAGATTTATCATTATTGGAACATGCGATGATTATCAAAGTTTCGTTCAAAAAAGCAGCCCAAATATTTTTTTTTCTTTTTATTTAATAAATATACATGTGTTTTTTTAATAAGTTCATCAATAAATTTCTTTACTTCGTTGTTTAAAATCATCGACATGTATGCTCCTAAAAATTGTATCATCATATTATTGATTATGTTTTGTGTGGTTGGTAGAAGTCGTAGTTTACCTCAAGAACTTTGTTGAAAAATCGCAATAGTCCATCTCAAGTCGGCTTCTCTGATCTGCAGGCAATTGTCTTCAACGTAGCTCCAATATCCTGACCATTCCCCATAATTACCAATTATCACACACCAAGTCTTTCCATAAGTTCCCTGCAGCCAACTTTTTACATCTTCACAAATTTTAAACATGTTTGATGATCCATGTGTATCAATTGAAGTCCGTATTGTATTTAAAATATTTATTCTCATAGTATTTGTGATTCCTGACGCTTGTGCGGTAATTTCCCATTTTGACATTCTAGTCGATTAGAAGAAGAGTTATCTAAAAAATAAATTCAGAACTACAATTTGTGAAGATGAGAATCCTATACCTCCGTTTATTCGAAGAAAAACACATGCTATATATAGGATAGTGAATCACCCTATTATGGATATTTCCAACAAGAGATCAAAACACTAAGTTGAGGAGAAATCTATGAACGGTATGGACGAGAACGAAAACACATATCGAAGAAGATGATGAATCACACTGTACATGATAGACGTGGCAACAGGACGAAAGAAGATATACATATATGGCGGAAGAAAGAAATGAAGATAAATGATGATACTACCTAACACACCACCCACTATCACTAGATGAAACGTCTCGCTTATAAATATATAACACAAAAAAAAAATGGTAAAGTTTAAGCGCGTTGACGAAGAGTCATAAGTATATTCTTTCATACTGAGGGTGTGACTGATTAACCTAATATTCACACTCTAGAGGCAAAACAAAATTTTATTATTTGAGTCTGTTACTGTGAACCGAAAAGATCTTTTTCATTCAATATGATTGTAGGATTGTTTTATTTTCATTCGTCCATCCATTCTCAGCTTGAAATAATCAATAGATTAATCAGTTTCTATAAAAAGAAAAAGAAAAAGAAGCATTACATCATTGTTTTTAACATCATTTACAAATTCATTCATATTTCTTTTTTATAAAATATTTAAAAAAGTTATTTTGCAACAAAACTCATTCTGGAGTTTAATGTGTAATGAACATAATGATAAATTTGTTTAAAAATAACATTAAACGAATAATATAATTACCATCTATTATATTAAATTAGTACCTACAATAATTAGACAGACATCTGAAAACGAGATTTGATATTTGTCAGGACTTATCTGATTATTTGAAGCATTGATCTTTGATTATATGTTTAGAAAATTCTTCAATTGATAAACTATATGAAATTGTTGTAGCAATAACTGATCGTTTTATTAAAAGAATTCATATTAATTTAACAATTTCTCAAATGAAAAAACGTATGTTAAATATCAATGAAACCAGAAGAAACTGAATGACATTGAATACTATATCAAACTAAGTCTAATATCAAATTTTCTGTTTTTTATATAACAAAAACATTAATAGAACCATATTTATTAATCACTATTTCATTAATAATGCTTTCTCATTCGTTATATGGAGTTCTATCATCCTTATTCAATCTGGTCGTTGATCTTTATTTTCATGAACTTTTTTAATGACTTTACCTGCATCTATTTTATTAATATTAGTTACAAACCACTTTCACATCATGTAAGATACATGTTTGACAAATAACAGAA